AAATTTGACAATCCTTTAATTATGAGAATTGGATTCTCTTATTTTTAATAAAAATGTTTTATTTAAATTTAGATTTAAAAGTTCAATTTAAATTAATTAGATAAACTATTATGAATAGTTAAATCTATTTAATCCCAAAATTAAATCAACACACAAAATTTGGTAAATTTATATGCTTTTAATTCATGTGATGAATGTTTTAAGCATATTTATTTAAGGATAATTATATGTTTTTAATTCATGTGATGAATATTTTTAGCATATATGGATAGATTCATATGATGAATGGTTTATCCATATGATGAATGGTTTATTAAGGGATAATCATGAGCCTTTTATTCAATGTGATTGAATTGAATGTTTGTAATTTATCGAGACCTGCGAGTCTCTTATTCTATTATTTGTAATAATTTTAAATTATTGTGTAATATCCCGATATTTTATCGGTACAAATTATGTTTTTTAGTTCCGATATAATATTGTTATCGATTATTATTGTCGGAATTAATTAATTTCAATCGAGATTACCGAAAATTATATTCGACGTACCGTTTACGTTCGGAATAATTTTGGTAATTAAGCATTATGTTTAATTAAATAATTAAACATAAAGGGAGTGATTAATTAGCACTTAATCATCAATTTGAGTCTTAAAGCCGTCCCATTTAAATTCTTAAGCATAAAGCCGTACTATGTGGATTTATTTTCCAAAAAAAATTTGTCTAAGCCGTAAGCAAATTAGGTATGTGGTTTCTTCCATATTAAGGATCCCAACAATTACTCTTCCTTAAGGGATACGTGGCATTAGTAAGATTAAAAGAGAGATCATTAGTCACCACATCATTTTTTCCTTGATTAGCAAGTGTCTAATGCCCATGTGGCCACAAGTTCACTATGTCATCACCACCCTTACGGCACTAGTATAAATAAGGTAAGTTTGGTCCAAAATTTCTCATTTTTCCCATCTATGTTCAGCAAATCAGAGGGTAAGTTCAGAGAGTGAGAGAGATTAGAAATTGTCCAACTTTTCCATACTCCAAGCGTAGCAAGAAGCCACCGCACCGCAAGCACCTCTTCCGCACCACACCGAACACACGCATACGCAAGGATTAAAGGGGGATTTCGAGCAGGTCTTGTGATTTCGATCAAGATTGTGAGAAGGTAATTTAAGCTTATCTCTGAATGAATTGATGATAGCTGATCATGTTTCGTCGAAGTCTCGGTTAGGCTTTGAGCCGTTTGACCGTGTCCATCCGTGTGTGGGTGTGTGCCCGTGGTTAGAATTTATGTCAAGATATTATGATTATTTCCGATAGTTGGTTGATCAATGAACCTATTTAGCTAAGTTATGTGGTGGCATGTTCAATTATGTTGGATTTATTGATA